TCAAAAATTTTGTAGGTCACAATTAATTCATTGGTCACAGATTTCAAAATTAGTTGGTTACAAATCAAAATTTATAAGTCACGCAATCATAGATTTCCAAATTAGTTGGTCAAATATTTTTTAATAGTCACACGTAAAAAAAAAATTCTATGTCACAATTAATTTGTTGGTCACAAATCAAAATTTATAGGTCACACGGTTACAAATTTCCAAATTAGTTGGTCACAGATTTTTTCACGATCACAAATTATATAATTTTTAGGTCACTGATAACAAAATGGTTGGTGACAGATTATAGAATTGGTCACGTTCCAGTCTCAATTGGTCAAGACCCATGGTAGAACTAGGTACGCCATGTGAGGGCGAGCCTAGCTCAGGTGGTCCGCCACCATGGGTCTTCCTGCCGGCATCGAAATTTCCAGTAAATATGTTCGCTTGTCACGAATTCGAAGTTTCTAAGTCAAATTCAAGCTGTTGGGACTCAAATCGAGGTTGAGCCATACCAGGGCAAGGTGCGTCTTGGGGAGGGGAAGAGGACCCAATTGGTCTGCCATCATAGGTCGTCTGGACGATGCCGAAAACTGCGTTTTTCGAACCTACTGGTTTCTCGTTCGCGACTGCAAATATTGTAGTGGTTAATTTCGTTGTGTGTGATGCTTTTTGGGATGAATTGTGGACATGGGGAAGGTTGTCTGGCTTTAGGGAGTTGACCGGTGGTTGGCCTGCCACCGTGAAGTTGATTGGAGAAGGCGATTCCGGCAGTTTTATCATTTTAGGGCAACTGATTTTGACTGCTGATTTCTTCCTCATACTTGGATGAAATTGATGGATGTTGGGTGGAAATTAAAGGTGCTGTTAAGGGCTTTGCAATAGTATCCAAATTCAGTGGTCTTGTTGGCCGAAAGTTGCTGGAATTTTTTTTCAATTCTAGAGAGAAAGAAGAACGTTTGGAGGTAGAGAGAGAAGGTGAAAGGTGAACGACAGTGTCACGACGCTGTCGCCGTTCACAGCAGGCAGAGAGAGATGAGGGAGAGGGGGGAAGGAGGGAAAAGGGAGGAGGATAAAATGAAATTAGGG